ATGCCAGCATCTAAATTGTTAATACACATGTTGAACAGCACTGGGCCCAGGGCAGACGCCTATGGGACTCCACTTGAAACCTCCTGTCATTCTGATATGGACCCATTAATAATTACCCTTTGCTTGTGGCTATTGAGTCAGCTATCTGTCCACTTTGTAGTTTTTTTCTAGCCCACATTTCTCCAATTTGCTTATGAGAAGGTCATGTAGGACCTTGTCAGAAGCCTTGCTGAAGTCCAGATACACTATACCCACAGTGGTCCCATCATCTACCCAAGTAGTTACTTGGTCAAAGAATGAGATCAGGTTTGACACAATTTGTTTTTCATAAATCCATGCTAGTTACTTATGATCAGCCTTTCCTCCTCCAGATGCTTGCAAATGACCTTCCTTAGGATGTGCTCGAGTAACTTCTCAAATATTGGAGCGAAGCCAGTCCTTCTTTTTGCCTTTTTTTAGAGAGGGGCACTACATTTACCCATTTTCCAATCCTCTGATATCTGGGCTATCTCCTGTGACTTTATGAAGTCAAGGGCTCAAGATTTCCTCTGCCAGTTCCTTCAGGACCCTGGGATGAAGTTCATCCAGCCCTTCTGTCTTGAATTCATTCCGACCCAACAAAAGCTCTCTGACCATCTCTTTTGTTATCTCTTCCCTCAGTTTGCCCCCTTTGTTATCCAGATAATCCTTATTAGGTGTCTGGCAGCTTAATTCCTTTATGAAGACTGAGGCAAAGTAGCTGTTGAGTAGATCTGCCTTTGCATCTTTGGTTACCCCTGGCTTTTTAAGAAAGGACCCGCAGCTTCCTTGGTCCTTTTCTGGCCAACACACTTATAGAAACTCTTGTTGTCATTGACCTCTTTTGCCAGTTGTAGCTTGTTCTTTATCTTTGCCTTCCTGATTTTGTCTCTGCAGGTTCTTGCTATTTCTTGGTATACTTCCTTGGTCACCTACCCATTCTTCCATGGCCTGTATGCTTTTGTTTTGCATTTGAGGCATTTTAGAAGCTCCCATGCAGCCGCACTGGTCTCTTGCCATTCTTCTCAAGCTTCCAGTAATCAGTGTAAAGTTGGTCAGGAACCTGACAGTAACCAGGGCTCCCCATCAACCTTTTAGATTGTTAAAGAAACTCTACCATGTCTCATCTTGCATAATGAATTGATTAGCTATTGCTTATAAAGTGCATTACAGATGAATGTTAGGCTGGATGTTGGCTACACCAAAATACTTCTTGAACGTTGTATGTGACCTATGTATGTTGTATGTGAATATAAAGCTATTTACTTCATGGATATATTTGGTTTAGTTAGTAACAGACCTTAAAGAAAGGAATTAGAAAGAATGAGGAATAGTTCAGAAAAAGCCAACCCATAATAAAAGCTTCAGGTTTGCTAAGAAACAGTACTTACGCTACTGGCTGGGAGTACTCTACCTCTAGGCTTTGGTCAGGTAAAAAAAATATTTGGCCATCCAAGGCTTGTGTCAGGTGCCTGAAGACCACATAAATAATTAAACAAGAAGGAAGATGTCCAGATGTGAAGCAGTTGTAGTTGAAGAGATAATCACACTGACACTAGGTACTCACTAGGCACAGACAGACAGATTAAGGCTTTTATATTATTTATTAATTAAGACTTTTATAATATTAGAATATTAGTAGTGTTTCATTTTAATCACAGAAAAATGTGGATTTTGGGCTATACTTTTTAACCCAAAAATTGGAAATTTTTTTAATCGGAGAAAATCAGGCTCCCTCACCTTCAGGAATATGGTTTTCATCCTTTCCCCATTCAAAATAGCGGGAAAGCTCCCATTAATTCTAATGTAGTATCAAGCCCCATATTTTCAGCAACGGTGCAGTCAACCCTGGCAACAGAATCTCCCTTTAGATTTCTGCTTTTTGGAGAAATGTATTGATTCCATACACATGAAATGTTTTGATTCTAAACCAGTCTAAGATAGATGCACTTAGATTTATTTTCAGAGCAGAGGCTACCTACCTTTATAGCTCCAGTCCTGCAAATATTTACACATATGTGTAAGTTTAGGTACATGGCTAGTTGGCAGTCTATTTGTAAAATAAGGCATGCCCATAAGGCCTTTGTACCACAGCAGGCCCCAATTTTGATAGGATGCTTTTGTACTACAGATAGGTAGGACCTTTACTGACATGTGATTTATTTCCTTACCCAGCCTAATTGCATATCTTGTCTCTGTCAAACCGTTTTTCAATTTTAGTGGAAGTCCAATTGATCTCATGCTCATACTTGTATCTTCACTTTTCCTCCTTGATGCATAACTCCCAGTAGGTCCTAGCAGTGAACTTTGCAATCAGTGAGCTGAGTTCTTACTTTATTTTCTTTTTAACTACTGACTTTATATATTAACATAATTAGTTTCTAGGACACGTTTTGGCAAAGTTTTGAGAAGAATGAAGGTCATCTTGCTTTGGACCTTCATTTCTAAGTAGAATATTAAATATAATCCTTATAATTATAGCAGTGTCGTTTGAATTGCCATGGTTCAAGCTGTGTCAATATGTCATCGAAAGCTCTCCTTCCAGAAGCTGAAACTCAGGCATGAATATTTGCTGCTGATTGACTGTAAATGTGATGGCCAGCAGCTGGGAATACATTCCTTCACCCCACCCACCCCTTTTTTTCTGTCTCTTTTTATCAAATGATTTTAAAGAATCTTCTTTTAAAGTTATGGGTTTAGTAAACAGATAAGAGACAAACTTGTGCTAAATTCTACTATGCACCATTTTGGTTTCAATGAGGATATAGGGGTATAAGGAACTCACAGGAAAATTTGCACTAAAAGTTTAAAACACATTTTTACCCTTACTGGGAGAGCTGAGAAACAGGTTTGAGTTTCAGAATAAAACTTGGCATCCGAATATTGTATAATACAACCCAGTCTTACTTGGGGTAGTTAAAAATAAAAAAACAGTGTTTGTAACCTGTGGTATTTAGCTTTGAAAAGTGTCTTTTGCCCATACACAGTAGCTACTTTTCATAAGGACTTTTAACACACATATTTACAGGGTGGACCAGAATAGCTCAGAGGAAGTCAATCCAGTCTGTGGAATAAAGAGTATGCACTTTAAAAACTTTCTATATATACACACCTATATAAAACCTTTGACATGCATATTTACTGTACACAATAAATATTAGTGACTTCATTAGTGCCATGGATGGTTTGTGAAGTCAATAACATCCTCTCTGAACTCTCTCTGGATTAGATGTGTATTCGTTCTGTTTGGGCTGATAGGTCATGAATATGCATTTGGATGACCCATGACTTTAAATTCCTATTTATTTAAATACTTCACCATGTTGTTTTAAGAGCAAGTACTCTCAGGCCATATAGTTTGTACCTCAGCCTCCCAGTGCCCGATCAAAGTGCAGACTGTTAGGCACAAATTAGAAGCTCCTCTCTGTTCCCTACCCAGAGTAACCTTTTGTACGCTCAACCCCCTCTCCTCGGCTCCCCCCACTTATCCCCAGCCACAGTAGACATCGCTCCTTCCCACCCCCCCCCGCCAGAGTCACTCCCCTCTCACCTAAGGTCCACCCCTTCTTCCCCTCCTTTCATGCTCCTGACACTGCCTTGTAATGTTTTATCTAGCTCAGAAGAAAGTGCCAGAGGGCCAGACTGACACAGACGTGCTGAACATGTGGTTTCCACATGTTCTCTTCACCTCCCTTAGCATTTCTTCCCTAGCTGTGTGTCCCCATTCCTGCCCTGGCCATTTAACATTTCCCTTTCTGTTTGCTGTTTCTCTTTTTATAAAATTTTCTTTCTTTCAAATGAAAATTTAATGGCAGTAAACATGCTCCCTTCCCCTCACAACTGGTCCTATAGGACTGCATATTATTTTAAGAAACTCGGAGCACAAAACCCGGTATATTATATACACCAAGACTGTAGGTTTTAAGGGACTGCAATTTAAATTCATAAAACTGAAACACACAAGTTATGCACATCATTATACCTACTGAGGTCTTCAAGAAGGACCTGAGCACTTGTCTAGCATCTCTCCCAACTATATAGTGGGTCCAATAAAAGAAATCACCCCAAAATCTTTGCCTCATTCAGGAAGGCACCTATGGCTGGATTTACAATGATAGTTAAGTGCCCAATTTACCACTGATTTCAAATCTGCCTAAGCCTTATTTGAGGTACTTTTACTTTGTGAATCCCACGCTTCCTCCCTAGTTGTTAGAACCAAATGTCAAATAGAATCTCCTAGGAAGCTTCCTCCGCCTTCTGAAATGTGTGTCCCCCTAACGCGTGCTAAGCACATTGTCCTTGTCTTCAAACAGCGTTTTTCTAACAGATACATGAGCAGGTAAATTCCCCCCCTCTGCCCCATAACCACTCAATACTGTCATTTTGATGCTTCTTATAAATAAAAAAAAAAGCCTCATCCACTGTCTTTTCTGATTAGGTGTCATATAGTAGACTCCTACCATGATATAACTCTGTTCTTTTCCTCCCTTTTCTCTTCACCCAGAGACATTCAGCTGGCCTCTCACCTCTTCCTGAATTTCAAAGCAAGTATATTGGTATTTTGATATGTAATTGCACCTTCCCCTTTTTTTTCCCTTGCCTGTTCTTTAACTAGCTATATCCTTTTATACCAGTATTCCAGTCTTGTGATTTGCCCCACTAACACTCTGTGGTACCGGTTATGTTGTAGTATTAGTTATGCAGCTGCTTAAAACCTTATTAAAGCACTCCTCATTAGTTTAGTGAATCAGTGTCTAAAGAGACTTGTCTCCCTTCATCCTTAGATAGATCCCATCTCTTCCTGCCCTTCTTTCTTTGCAGATCCATGTCCTGAGGCTGAAAAACTCCCACCCTCTGAGCACCAAGTAAAAATAAAATATTAGCATGGAAGCAAGAAAAAAGTGTTAGGAGCTATGTAGCAAATGAACTTGGGGATGAATATAGGGAAAAGTATCACTGATGCCATCTTGCTCAGTTCACAGCAGTGAAAAAAAGTTATAATAATTAGCTGCAAAACAAAGCGGATTATAGTGTTGTTCTGGATGGCACCTGTTAGTCCCCAGCTCCACACCATGGTCAGCAAATCCACCTCTGTAATCCATATTTTTCTGATTTAACATCGGTATGTCTAATGTATTTATTACCTTGTTATCCTGGATTGACACAAAGACTATTATTGATTTGGTAGAAGCAGCTTGTTCACAAACAGAAATGAGACCTTCTTCTGATAATCTAAATGATAAGAAGAAGTTAAAAGATGTAGTCCACAGTTATGCAAAGGGTTCCACACCAGCAAAAACCATAGGCCTTGTGCACTCCCCCATGGAGTCCTCTATTCTTCATTGGGACTCAGCTGTGGTCTGGAAGTACCTGCACAGATTGCATGGTGAGACAGCTGACTGCAGCTGGTTCACACTTAGAAGGAAAGACAGGGAGCTGATGTAGTACATGTGCTGATAGTTAATTATGTTAAAATGACTTAAATCAATGCTCCAGTAAAAACAACAACAACAACAACAACAAAACCAGACAAAAAAATCAAAAGCAAAATAAGAAAGAAATGCCTTAGTTGTGTTATCAACAGCACCTCTGGTCAGTCAAACTGAAATGTTACTTATGAGATTGTACTGGATCTGTACTGCCTGAATTTCATTCAGTTTGGCCAATGGAAACAGGCTCTCCTCGGTTTCAGTTTTGTTTCCAGTCAGTTTCACTTTCTGGTTCTCTGTGATCACCCCCTGTTGTAATGCTCAGGTTCAGCAAGTTCTTTCCTTCCCCCCAGACACTTGTTTTCATTTTAGTTAATGCTTTTAACTCATAAAAGAACATCCATCAATTCCTTTTACAAAGCAGGACTATTGAGCCAAAGGATCTGACATTACTCTATTAGCAAAAATATGCAAAATTAATCAAATGTTGTAAGAGATGCATTATTTATACTGCTAATGGATTTAACTAGGTGGGATCAGGAGTCTTTGGGTGTTTGGATGGGAGTAGTAGGGCACTTGATATAGTCCCTGTATTTCTTGAAACTAGGAACTGGTACCAGTCAGATAATAAACCTGTGACCTGTAGGAAGCCAGATAGAAAGCTTGTGGTCTCTTGGGTAGGGGCAGGGATATTGTAGTGTTGGTGTTTCACTAGCAGCTAGAAAGGGCAGTTTAGTTGGAGGGATGTGTCTTCTGCTTTCTCAGCTTGCAAAATGCCAAAAAAAAATTCTCTGTCCAGTATAATGTGAGCCTATAATAAAAAAAATGTCCTTAGGGAAGGGACACAGATCTAACCTTGAGCATTTGTTTTCTATTTGGACTGCCCCAGCTGGCAATGGCAGAAGAAATAAATAAGTGACAATTGGAGCTGAAGTCTTCCACTAACAGGAACTGACCACCTCAGCGCCCAATGTATTTGAGAATCAAAGCCTTGTTAAATTGAAGTTGGAGGAGAAAGCATAATGAAGGGGGAAGGTGGAGTAAGACCCCCTGATTCTTTTTCACACTAAAGGTTAACTTAATTCTCTTTCTGTAAATAAAATGCAGAAAAGGTGGGCAAGTGGTTTTTCCCTCAGTGTATTCTTTGGAGACACCTGACATAACCAGTCTCCCCGTGCTGAGGAGTTCAAGGGCTCCTGGTAATACTGACCTGCTCCCATTACAGTGGTTGGGATAGGGAGTAGGTGGGGAAACAGTCCTTTTTTCCCTGGAGCAAGGGAGCAGGTGCACAGATAGTCCTATGTAGAGAGTATACATGACCTGAATGTCTTTCTGCACCCAATTTTATGCTTGTGTAGTTTAAGCTTTACTCAATCTTGATTTCTATCAGCGTGAGTAAGAGCAGAATCACGTTCCATGTGTACATACAGTAAGGAGGCTGAAATTCCATCTTGGGTTAATAAACCATTTGATCTTTGCTCTCTTAGGGCTTATAATGTTCCCTTGGTGGAATTTCATCCCTATTATGCTTGGTATGGTGAACAGTAGTTCCTTACACAGTAACACAAAATGCAGGTACTGTGGTTAAGTGGGGGGCCTGATTTTTCAAAGGAGCCCATTGTAATTTTGTTCTCAAGTAAAATGGGAAGCCCTGAACAAAATTTTGTTTTGAATCCTTAACTTGGGGCATGTAATATTAGGAAGTCATTTTCAGAGAGAAACCCTAATTTTCCTTTGCTGTTATTGTTTTGGCCTGAAATCAGAACAGAATCACTGTGTAATAATTTTGTTTTGTAATACAGTCCTTACTTTAAGTTTAGATAATTTACAAGGACTTAGGTGTCAGTGCTACTTTGACCATCACCAGGGCTAAGGATGAAATGCTAGAGCCACTAGTGGCTTGAGGCAAAGAACCAGTCTCTTAAATGTAAGAGCTATCAGATAGATATATTTTGTGGATCAGGCACAGAAGACACGGGCTCTTGGTTTGGTTTTGTCATCCATGCTGTACAAATATAATCCATTGGCCAGTAGGAAGGAGTCTTGAAGTGAGTGTAAAACATTTTAAGGCCTCATTGTAGTTAGCTCGGTGTAAAGCAGCCTTGATGGGAATGAGAATTAGAATTGGGCCCATTGTTTCTTAAAATTACTAGACCTGATTCTTATTTACACAAAGACCCCTTTATACTGCTCTGCTAACTGGAATTTACCCCCTTGCTTAGATTATATGTACACCAGTTTTTTCAGTTCAGAGTCCTTTACCTTTCACACACCCAGGTTCCACCTTAACTTGACTTGAAATTAGTTCTGTCTGGACTGAGGATAGACACTAAACTTCTCAAAAGCTCTTGCACTTGACACAATTGACTGGTGAAGAATCTTAGTGTTGCAGCACAGAGAACCATGCAATAAATCCCCAGATAAACAAAAGTGATGGCAGAAACAGTGAGAACACAAATAAAGGCTTTGTTGTGGGGACTCTTCTACCTAGGCTAGACAAGCTGCATGTGAAAGTCCCAATCGCTTAGGTTAACTATGCAGGATGTACAGCCCTGTACACTTCCAGACCAGTATTGAGGGACCTCAGTGTAAATCAGTTATGGTATTATATGCTGATATGCCATTTGAACTTTTTCAGTTAAAACTGAAAGCTTTTCAAAATCTTGGAGGATGGTCTTATACATATGAATGGGCAATTTTCTGCCAAACTTGCCACAAAATTTATGTTTAGGTATGACTAACTTTGGTGTAGTCCACCTGATTCATGTTTACACAGCTTTAGGAATGTATATCAATATAATTTACTTCCCCTTTAAGGCCTCTTTACAAAACCAGATCAATGAAGAATGACCTTACTATAAGAATTGGGCCCAAAAGCATTTTCTCTGGAAAGTTATTTACTTAATGTAGCCATTGGGGGGGAGAAACAAAAACTAAAACCCTTGGGACTGATTCTTACACTAAGGACTTGTCTGATCTATAAGGCATTGCAGATTTAGCTGTGTCAGTGAAACAACCAGCAAAATCCTCCTAGTTCACATACACACTCAGTATAAAAGAGTTTATATTGGTATACTTGTGTCCCCACTGGGGCTTATACAGGTGTCTTGGAGGAAAAATAACCGCCTTAAATAACATAGCTATAACAGGGTAACTTTCTTAGTGTAGGGCAAGCCTAACACGCTTTACCCATGCTCTAGCAGTATACAAGAATTTTATATAGAGTGTTAAAGAAAGCTAGCAGGACTTCAGTTTTCTGTAACAGTAAAAGAGACTACAGGATGATTGTTTAAAGAGAGAAACTCTGGGGGCCACATTTTTCTTTTGCCTTGAAGCTTATATCCTTATTTGTTTCTGTGCAAAGTGAGTGTAAAAACACCCACAAAATCAGAAGGGTTATTTTTAACCCCAGTTTGTACTTCTTGTGTACAGGTTGGATTTCAACCTGTACACAAGGATTACCCCCTTGTGTACAGGTTGAAAAGCTTTCAGTTTTAACTGAAAAAGTTCAAATGGCAACATCAGGTAGAAGGCAGTGGCAGATCAGGCTCTGTGGTTCTAATTGTGCTCTCACAACTGTGTTGTCAAACCTTGTCATTCTCAAATTTGTGGCTCAGTTTCTGATTTTATTTGCACCATGATAAATCTAGGCAAAAAATCCATTGGAATTAGAATCTGGTTCAGTGGAGTGACACAAAGGTAAGTGAGAGAAAGATCAAGTCTTTAGGAACTGCAGAATTATGTACATCTACCAGCATTTTGATGACACAAGTAAATCATTCAACCTTTGAACTTATGCAATATATGAGATACTTGAACTCCTAGCTGAGCACAGTTATGCTTCCATTTTTCACTGTATTAAATACTGTTCACACAAACTTTGTTTTCAAGTAAAAGTATATCAAAACTTGTTTGGTGTCCCTGTGCCTTTGCATTCCTTTGATCTCATTTAAAACTCTGGAGCAGAGGGTAAAGAGCTCAGTCACTATCTGCTTTCATGGATGATAATTAGTACAGGTCCGGGGGCTGGGTGCAATGATATACTTCTCTGTGCTAAAAAGGGGAAAAGTAGAATGGATCAGAGTGATTGTTTGCTGTGCTGATGACTGTGATGTTACCATGGAAAAGCTGGAGGTTTCAGGGGAGTTTGTGTTTTGTTGGGCAGTGAGCCAAGCTGCTTTGACTTATTACAACTGTGTGAGTGAGCTAGCCATGCAGAACTGTATTCCTCTGTAGCAGTTCAATGGAGAAGAGTTGAAAAGACAGGATTGCTTTAAGGAGAGAGAGAGAGAGATGATGCACTTTGCTAGGTCTGCATTTCAATATATGCGTATAACCAAAATAACTGGTTTTGCCTCTTTGAGAAGTTGTCTGCTTACACTGAAGTGCTGGATTCTGAGAAGTAAAAGTAATAAGATCTCTGGTAATCCCTCCCGGAAGCCAACAGGGCTATTTAATTGGATTTATCTATACAAAAAGGAGCATTTAAAGTTATGTTGAGCCCAGGTCCATTAAAGCCTTTTGATCTATTCCAGAAACAAAAGTAGAAACAGACGAGCCTGCTCTCATTATCTGCCCTGAATGAAGTGCAAAAACTAGATAAACATTACAAAAACAAGACCCTAATCCCGCAAAAAAATTACTAACCTTACATGCTGGTTGTCCCTGTACTCGTTATATGTAAAGTTTAATATTTTTTATGCAGCACTTTTCATCAATGGATCTCAAAGCAGTTTACACAGGAGGTCAGTATTCCCCTTCACTTCAACCAAGGGGAAGATGCTCAAAGTCAGCCAGCAGAATAAAGCCCACCTCTTCTGCAAGACGGTCCAGCATGCTGTGCGCTCAGACACATGGCTTCCTGAATGAATTACATACCAAAGTATTATAAAACAGCTCAGTATTTTTCGATAATGCCTGACTTTTACCCTGGCCTCATGTCTTTAAAGTAAGCTGCCATGCTGTTTATTTGTGCAGGGTTCAGCTCCATGCTAGAGTCATGTTCTGTAAAAACATTTGTCCAGGATTCTTCTGGGTTTCAGCGTCCATTGTCATTTCTGAGACTCTGTTTGCTACAGTTTACCGCTGTTGCTTCTTGTTGTTGTTCTGGAAGGGGGATTGCTTTTTAATTTTTTTTAATTTTATTTTTATTTCTTATTTTCCTCCTCATAGCTTTGTACTGTGTGGAAAAAGATGCACTTGGGCATGCTCCTTTATAATGCATAGCTCTGTGACTGGTGACTTAAACATAATAAAAAGTAGTAGTATAAACTTGCAAAGGTCTGTTTTCTAGAAGAAATTCATGCTTATCTACTCTCTTGAAAACAAACAGTTTCTGGGTTACTTTTGTGTAGGATTTGTGGTAAGGACATTAAAGTGAAACCTTGGACCTCCTTAAAGTCCCTGTGACTTAATTGGTATAGGATACCACTCATATGGGCACATTCTGGAAGGGACTACAGCGCTTGGCACATACCTGATAAAAATGCAGTGCACTGAGTACCATTCCCTTCAGTAGAGCTGTGCTGGTGATGATTGGCCCCATAGCTTTTGCTAAGAAACTTGGGACCAGATTCTCCAAACACCAAAAACTAGTATCCCTACTGATTTCACTGGGATCTGGATAAAAGCTCAAAATTTCCATACTCGGCTTCACTTAGCAAGATACATTTGGATTAGCTAAGAGAATGAGTGTCCAGCCCTTTCAGTGGTTAATTGTTGTGGGATGAATAGTATTTTTATAAAGGAGGGATGAAAAGCAGGGAAGCCTTGAAGTATCTTAACACTATCAAATGGCACATCCTCTGCTGGCATAGATATCTGAGCACCACCGGCTTCAGTGGAAGTCTTAAAGTTACACCAGCTCCAAGGAATCAGAGTTGTGTTTTAAAGCTGTTGATCTGCTTATAAAGGTTTTCTTTTACCCATTGTTTCTTTCTCCTGTGCTGTTTTTGGGAACCTGATCCCTTACAACCAAAATCTAAGTTCTCTCAAGAGAGTTATAATACCTACACATTCAAGGATGCTTCATGCTAATGAGATTTTTAATATCTTCATGCTGCTCAGCCTGCCACGTCTGGGATGAAGTGTAATAAGGACCAAAAATGAGGGGGACAAGCTTATACATTCCTTCAGGAAATTGAAACTGCTCTGGAAGTCTCTAGTGTAGTGATTCTCAACCGAGGTGATGCAAGATCCTTTGAAGGTCGATGCTGGGTACCACACAAACACCTACACGTGTGGAAACACCTACATATGATTCATAAGATAAACCCAGAGGTTGCAAATAGGAGTCCATAGCATCACAAATATTCTGGCCTAATATGGTCTTACTGAGCAACAAAAGAATTGCTCTAGTATTTTTCCATAGTCAAGGAAGTTTTGGAAAAACTTGGAAAGAGGAATGAAGTTAGTTTTGGAAGTGGGGTGCTGCTAAATTCAGAAGACTTATGGAGGGGTGCCTTGAGTCTAAAAAGGTTGATAACCACTGCTCTGGTGTAAACAGCCCTTTCTGCTACCTCAGCTTCTTGATTTGCATGTGGATGGACAGCTTCTCGGCTAATATAAATCAATGGAATTCTGTTGACCCCTGTAGAGGTGCCACACTTCATAGGAGTGGATAACAAGACCTCATCATTATTTTTTCAGCAATAAAAACCATGCAAGACCATGCTTTTATGAGACACAGGGATCTAAAATGAATAATGCCCTTTGCAACCATCTATTAGGGGCACAATTCCACCATTGTCACCTAAAGAATAAATTCCTACTGAGGACAGAGTAAAACTATCCCTAGATGTTAGCATTCATTCCCAAACTGAATATGTGGTATTAATGCATGCTGCTTCTAGATCGCATTCCTTATAACCCCTATCCTTCCTTTTTAGAAGGACTTCCAGTTACATTTTTCAGCCTTTCTTCTTTTACCCTTTATTGGAAAGGGCTCTGCAGGAAGAGCTGGTATAGACTGGGACAGTAAGGCCAGGTACAGACATTACACGTTTACTACTATAAGTGATCGGAAACTGATTCAAACCTGTAACAACAGAAATCTGGCACACATAGACTGGTTTAAAAATGGCAAAACTCCATCTACGATAGGCAGCTTGTGTGCCCACTTCCCTCGCTCCCCCTCAACCAAAGGGTAAATGTGTGTTCTGTTTGCTACTAATTTAAACTAGTTGCTTACAGAAAACCGCATAACGTAGATCAGTTCCACCTCTGGCTTTTTGGACACCTGTACCTAGCTCAAGCTACTGTAGTGTCAGAGAAAGTGGAAAAAGCAGCTGCCGCAGCTCCTGTTTTGTTAACCTGCTCCCTGGGTAAAATGGTTTTATCAGTGATCGAGTCAACCCCAGCTAAGAAAACTAACAGCAGAACGAGCAAGTGGGGGTGTCCGAATTGCGTCTACTTGAGAACAATCAGTTGAGCTCAAACGGGCTCATGTTAACTAGTCTCAACCTAACCTTTTCTTCAGCTAGGTCTGTATTCACTTGCCTTTGCTGCTAAAGCTTCTGCCAGCAGGCAGCAACTATCATCGCCAAGCCACTGGAGTGCCTGTATGCACAGCTTGAGCACTCAGCAGTTGTCCTCCAGAGCATGAAGTGCCCTCTGGGAAGGTACCAGCTACTGGGTGGATCAGAGCAGCTGGACGGCATCAAGAACTTACTCTGCTCAGTGGAGGTGCCTTAACTTTGCTGGCCTAGAGGAAGGTGCTGCTGCTACAGGGAAACTTTGAGTGTGGAGAATAAGCCCTTATGTTGACTCATTGCGATGCCTTTCTATCTTTGTTGGTCAGGTCAGAGTGTGAAATCTGCTTCCCAAGATGTGCCGTGGCCTTTTCAGTTGGGGCAGAAAGTACTGAAATGCATCTTACACTGGGGGAAAAAGTCATGGCTATGCAGAAGTTAACAGAAGCTGACCCATGTGTGAACCATTTTGCTAGGGCAGTATACCCAGTATGACAGACTGGGGTAGGCAGATTAGGGAGCAGAAGCACAGCTCTGTTCTTCTGAGTACACCCTGTCAAGCCTTATGGCTCTGAATAGCTATCTTCTGTTTGGGCAAATCTTGTATCATTTTTGCACCTTCCACTCCCGGATGAAGGAAGATATTGCTGGAGCTTGTGCAGAGTCGTCCTAGCAGCTGCTGGGCTGCAAATACTTTTTCCCCTCATACCTCTTCAGGAACTGCAGCTCAATGTGTGACGTCGTATCATTGGGCAACAGGGCTCCCCACAGGTTTAGAAATTTGGTGGCAGTGGAAGGGTGGCAGCATTAATTACCACAGCAATTTTTCCCGGAGCTGTAGCAATTAAGCTGCCACCATGCCCCCACTGCCAGATTTCTGGCCCAGTGGGAAGCCCTGTGGGCTGATGACATGGCTCTGTGGGCTGGAGCGCCGTTACCATAACCAGGGGCATGCCAAAACGCAGCGCTCGCTGAAGTCAGTGCCAAGACTCTGATTAAGTCCACGGGCATTAGATTGAGCCCCTGATACTTCACAATGCCTTAAAATGGGCTCTAATTCAGGAGGGCACTTAAGCATGTGTTAAATTCCACTGACGTCAATGGGATTTAAAATACCGTTAGCACATGTTTCCTAAACGACAGGAAAGAAGGGTGCTGTTCTGAATCCAGGCCACAATACTGAGCTCAAATGTGTGGTTTGTGGCTTCTGTCTTTGAATCACAGAAGGGATTAAACTGAGCAATGAGCTATGTGGAAATATCACTAAAATAATTCTGTTACACCATGTAGATTATAACTTGAGCGAAGTTTTGCTAGTTCATAACTCCATCTATGTTTCAAGTGCCCTGCAGTAATTCTGACATGTTACAGCTAATAAATCCATTTATTGCAGGGTCTGTTTGCTTCAGCTACAGAGCTGCAAGTTCATTTGCAGGTGCAGAAGGCTTGTGTATAGAAGCAGGATTCAGATTTACAGCTGTTGTGACTTATTCCAGTCTCTGTTACAACAAATCATTTTGTTAGGGAAGGCCTCTGCTGTTGACCAACCAAGACATGGTCAGGAATTTGAAACATAGCTTTGTTAGTTTTCAAAAGGAATCAGTGCCTGAATGTTGGGGCACAGGGCTGTTAAAGATTGAACAAAATCTATCATAAATCAACTGCTAGTTTAAGATGAAAAAAAAAATTGTTTGGCTTTTGACCATTACAGAAGTCCTTTGCTATCTTCCCTCTTTATAGTTGTAAGAGTGAATCAAATATGGGGTTGTAAAATCTACGGCCAGTTATTATTTCCTCCTATAATCCTGTTTAATTTTCAAAAAAATGAGTCAGTTACTTTCTTGAATGCCTTGTAACAGTTTGGTGCATGCAAAGTGCTCTCTCAGCTTCACTCAGCAAGGCAAAAAAGCATATTGCTTCATAGGCAAAGCAAGTCTGCACAATAGAAGACTTCCTTACAGCCAACATCTGCCAAGTGTGCTCTCAGCACTTCAGGAGTCATGTTACTCTTCAGCAAGGTCATGCAGGCCTAAAAAAATCACTGATGTTTATCTTTCCCAGAGGGTATTAAGCACCCAGCAAACACTGAAGCAAGAAAATCCATTAACAATAAAAAATGTTTCAAAATAAGTAATCACTAATAGGTTTTGCACATCAGCTATCAATGGAAAAGCAGGGGAAGCTTTATGGCTTTATATTTTCCCATTAACATTTTGTGATCTAATAAATAATGTGAATTGATTTATTCCTGGCAAAGGAAAGGGAAAAAACCTGGTCATCGTTTCATTGACATTATGTCCCCCTCTTTACATATGAGAATGCTGCATGTGTTTTGAATAATTAATACTGCACCTTGCCTTTTCTGTGCAGGAAAGAAAAATACAATTAAGGT